CCCCCTCGGAAGAAAACACACACACACACACACACACACACACACACACACACACACACACGAAAAAGAGAGACCTATAGAATGAAAAACTAGCACTGAACGAAAACTAGGAAAAGGGGGGGATTCAGAATTACAGAGGTTCCATCAGCTGTGTTAAACTTCAAGCACACTGTGTGTATCTTGCAAAGTAGGATATTTGCTGACGGGAAGATTTCCGTAAAGATCCCTCCCCCCAAAAAAAAAATGATGAATTCTTCTGCTCCCAAATTGCCTTTCTGATGTAGCTTCCATTTCGTTCATTTGTTTATCTGCCTGCTTGAAACACAAGCACATCAAAGCCGGAATGGGATACAGCTTTTGGGAAATGCCACAGATATTTCAAAATCTGAGTTTCCACTTCAGTACTTTGGCAGGGGGGGGGATGGGGGCACCTGGGGGAGCCCAGTGCCAGGCTCAAACACGGGCCGACTCCCAAGCAGCCGCAGCACGGAGAGACAGAACAACGTATCGCCTGTCTCCAAAGTCGGATACAGAAAGAGAGAGAGAGAGACAGAGAGAAGCGCCGAAGTTGGATAATTCCCTTGCCGCTGAAAAGAAATTGATGCTTTGCCAGACGGCAAAATGAGGCGATTTCGTTTCCGAGCTGCATCTCCCGAGCAATTAGAGAACTTGCAGCGTCTCCTCCACCCACAGCCTCCTGCAGAAAGAAACACTTCTACCCCAGAGAAATGGGTGGCCCCGGCCTTCGCTCCCGGGACTTTGCCCCTTCAGCCACTGCCTTTTGGGCCTCAGTTGCTGCACCACCTCGTTACCTTGCTCCGCCCCTCCCTGCTGTGATTGGCTACTGACCCCATATAAGCTCCCCCTTCCCATCTCACTCAGCAGAATTTGAGGCACTGGCCGGCAAGTGCAGCAGGCTCCAAACCTGGCCAGTCCCGGGGCTGACGCTGTACCCCTCGACTGCCTTCTGAGAGCCAGTTTGGTGTCATGGTTAAGTGCGCGGACTCTAATCTGGGAGAACCGGGTTTGATTCCCCACTCCCGTCAGCTATGCTGCCATATAGTCTATGGGCCCGGGTTCGCTTTCATGACCTGTGTGCCAGTGGCTGCCGCATTCCTTTCTTTTCGCTTCTCCCTCTCCTTATCACTGACCTTGTAGCCAGCCTGTGTAGTGTCTTCCCATCAATTAACTGTGGGATTAGTTTTGTTTCCCAGCCTCGGCTCCAACTGCCTTCGTCCTCTTTCCTGCCCGCGGGAGTCAGGCCAATTGGCCCATAGGTGGTGGTGGTGGGTGCTTTCGAATACCCTATATCTCAGCTTTCTATGATAAGAACATAAGAACATAAGAGACGCCAATGTTGGATCTAGTCCAACACTCTGTCACACAGTGGCCAAAAATACCAGGTGCCATCAGGAGGTCCACCAGTGGGGCCAGGACATTAGAAGCCCTCCCACTGTTGACCCCCCCCCAAGCACCAAGAAGACAGAGCATCACTTGCCCCAGAGTCCCTATCTATACCTTGTGGCTAATGGCCACTGATGGACCTCTGCTCCATATGCCTATGCTCCATATGAGGAGTTATTCCTAACAGTGACTGTGTCTATGCTACCATAGTGCTAACAATAAAGTTAAACCTTCAAAGAAGTGTGTGCTCTGTTGTTTGACTGTGGGTCCTGACAACTCCTCCACTTGCACCTGGCTGGATGACCTTGGGCAAACCTTAGTTCTGATAAGAGCTGTTCTTGAAAAAGAGCAGTTTCTGTCAAGAGCTCTCTCAGCCCCACCTACCTCACAGGGTGTCTGTTGTGGGGAAGGGAAGGGAAAGGAGTTTGTCAGCTGCTCTGAGATGCCTTTGGGTAGTGAAGGGCGAAGTATAAATCCAATCTCTACTTCTTCTTCTGGACATGAAGGGGGCGTTGCGCCCAGAGGACACACACAGTCAACAGATGCACCTTTGGCGGACGTTCTTCCCAGCTTCCGGAAGGCCAAGCCCCAGAGACTCTGGACCCAAAGTAGGGAGCTCTCAGGGGGGGGAAATGCCTCCAGGTGCCCCTCGCTGACTTGGCCCCGTGCGTGCGGTGTATTTGAAAGGCAAATGTCTCCCTCTTTATTTCCCTCCGTCACCCCAGAGGGCAAGAGGGCTGTGATGGTGAAAAACACCCCCAGGCCAACGCTCCCTCTAAGCTGTGGCATCTTGTGAGGAAAAAGTCTACTTTGTAAGCTACTGGCATTAAAAGTTCTGAGTGAGCGATTTGGCGGCTGCATAAATCAGTTTGCTCTGGAGCCCTCCTCCCTGAGCTAAGACCAAAATGTGCAAGCTGGAGGCTAAAAAAAACTGTGGGCTAGCTCACACTAGCTAAGCTGAGAGGGAACACTGCCCCCAGGACTATCTGGGCAAGCAAACAATGTGCAAGCCTTAGAACTGACATGGGAGAACCCAGGAAACAGGCGGAGGAGGCGCTTTGGCCAAAGGGAGGGCCCACGGGCCCCCAAACCTCGAGAGGGAGAGAGACCGCTGCTGGCCGCAGAGTTTGTGAAATTGTGGACTGTGAGGTTCCCGGAGACTTTGGGGGTGGAGTCTGGGGAGGGCAGGGCTTGGGGACGGGAGAGACCTCTGTGCCGCAGAGCCCACCTTCCAAAGCAGCCCTTTTCTCCAGGGGGACTGATCTCTTTTCCTTGGAAACGAGTGGTCATTCCAGGAGATCTCCAGCCCCCACCTGGAGGCTGGCAACCCTATGGCAGAGGTGGGGCGGTGGTGTGCCCTACAGGGTCTCCCCAGGCCCTTGGCACCTGCCCAAGGATGGAAGCCCTAAACCGAGAGGCTCTTTGGCTGACTGGCCTTCCTCCGCCTGGAGGGCCACCCCACGGATAACGCTCGCTCCCCATTTTCCTTGGGAAAATTGCCTCCCTCTCCAGTAAATCTTCCTCGCCTCATTCTCGGCAAAGGCAGGCCCTCGCTTGACAGCTGCGGTGCCGGGACTCTCTCTTGCTCAAAATGCATTAATTTGTAAATATCTTCATTTATATGTAAATGTGGATTTCTTGTCCCTGAAGTGTCCCCAGCCAATCAGGAGGCACCAACGGCAGCTTTTGCATCAAACTTTGCTTGCGACGCTTTGGGTTGTTGGACCGGCGGCTTTTTCCCATATTGTCATCTCCCCACCGCCACCTTTTCTCCCCCTCTGCCTTTAAACATTTATTTCAAATGCTTCTCCCACCCCCACCCCCGCCTCCCCTCTCCAGAATGGATCATGTGTGAAATAACCACGGTGCATTTTGACATCTCCGTTTCCCAATAAAGCCCTCTCTCATGTCGATGCAAAGGAGCTCATGCAACTTCCAAGGTGTGAACTGAGAAAAGCACAGGGACAAACTGAAACAGGTCATGGAAAAAGGTGCTGGAGAAGACTCTTGAGAGTCCCTTGGACTGCAAAAAGATCAAATCAGTCAATCCTAAAAGAAATCAACCCTGACTGTTCCCTGGAAGGCCAGAGACTGAAGCTGAAGCTCAAATACTTTGGCCACCCAATGAGAAAGGAGCACTCACTGGAGAAGACCCTGATGCTGGGAAAGACTGAAGGTCAAAGAAGAAGGGGACGGCAAAGGATGAGATGGTTAGACAGTGTCATCGATGCAACGAACATGAAATTGAGCCAACTTCAGAGGATAGCGGAAGACAGGAGGGCCTGGCGGGAGATGGTCTATGGGGTCGCGAAGAGTCGGACTTGACTGTGCGACTGAACAACAACAAAAGGTCTCCCTTGCTCGAAAGCCAGTCGAATCTGACTCTAGGGGGTGGTGCTCATCTCATTTCCAAGCCGAAGAGCCAGCGCTGTCTGAAGATGTTTCGTGGTCATGTGGCCGGTATGACTAGATGCCGAGGTGCACATGGAACAGGAGACCAACTGCAGCTTCTCAGAGAGACCGAGGGGGTGTGTGTGTGCAGCATCTTAGCCTTTGCCATTCACTGGGGATGCCATTAATTGAATTTGCTTGTTCATTTGTTTGTTTACTCCATTGATATCCTAACCCTTTCTCCCCAGTGGGGACCCAAAACTGTTTACATCATTCTCCTCCCCTCTATTTTATCCTTGCGACGACCCAGTGAGGTAAGCTAGGCTGAGAGCGTGTGACTGGCCCGAGGTCGCCCAGTGAGCTTCCATACCAGAGTGGAGACTCGAACCCGGCTCTCCCAGATCCCAGTCGGACACCTTCGCCACTACACTGCACTGGCTCAGCCTAGCCCCACCGTTTCAGCTCAAAACACCCCATTTCTATTTCACTTCTCCCATGTGCAAATCGAACTCAAGGCTTTTCACTACTTCTCAGGTTTCCTTGAACTGGTCCCATAAGATGGAATATATTTTCAACATTATTGAGCATCAATTAATTAGCATTACAGATATAATGAACAACTCATACCACCTGCATAAGGGAAGAAGAGGGAAGAGAGAAGAAGAGATTGGATTTATACCCCGCCCTTCACTCGGACTCTCAGAGCGGCTTACAAACTCCTTTCCCCTCCCCTCCCCACAACAGACACCCCGTGAGGGAGGTGGAGCTGAGAGAGCTCTTTCCAGAACTGCCCTTTCAAGAACAGCTCTGAGAGAATGATGGCTTGCCCAAGGTCATCCAGCAGCTGCAAGTGGAGGAGTGAGATATCAAACCCTGTTCTCCCAGATTAGAGTCCAAGCACTTAACCACTACACCAACTGGGTCTCAGTTTGTATAAACCCTCAGGGGTGTATAAACTACACACAAAACCTATATAACATGGATATGCAATACAAACTCAATGGCAAAAAGCAGAGACTCTGAACAGCTGACAAAAATATCAGCAGATACAATGGAAACCAGACAAAAGTCCCTTTGCTCCACCCTCTTCCGGGAACCACTCTGGCAAGCAACGCTACTTGGGTGGAGACCACAGGACTTACCGCACGGTGGACT